TCTCAGCGGTCAAAATCTCATTGGAGTCATCAGCTTTGCGGCTAACTGTTTTGGAGTCAGGTGCCATGTAAAAAGATCTAAACTTAATAAAATTGCTTGTTAACTTCAGGAGTAGAAAAGAATGCATAATATATACATGAAAAAGACGGAATATACTTTTAGAGAAAGAGATGCACTCTGTGGGGTCAGTCACTTCCTATACTCAGTAGGAGCTAAAAGAAGGAATACTTTTCTACAGTTATGCATAGACATTTTGGTTCATGATCCTGTTGACTTTAATGACTGAAACCCACAAAGCTGTTTTCAAAACACTGAGCTTTTTGATTAAAAGCATTTCTGAAGTAGCAACAAAGGAACACAAATCTTAATGAAGCCACACATTACCCCTGTGAGGTGGACAAGGATAAAGCTCATCGCCGTAACTCGTAGGGGGGAAAGCTGCAGTTGTTCAACAGCACAAAGCCAGGACATGCAATAGTTTACAAAAGCAAGGGATAATGTTCTGTACAGCTAAACCTGGAGGGAAAGTTGAGAGACGCTAAGAAATTACCTAATTTGGAGCTGAAATGGGATGTTATTGTATCTGCACCCATAACAAGGTTCAATACATAATAACAAATCTCAGTACTTAAGTCTCACTGCTCTTTTAAGCCAGCACCTCTAGCAGGAGAATATCACCTCACACTTTTCCCATGGCATTAACAAACGCTGGATCAAGAGGAAGATGTTACTTCTTGTTTCCTCAATACTACTAGCGCCCACTTTACAGCCTTGCTCCTTCTTTCATCCAGACCAATATAACCAAAGCTTAGTTAGTTTCTAAAGCGTGTCGTAAGAAGTGGCACATCTTAAGTACTCACGTAACAGGAAGGGCGCTGTTCATCTGGGTTTGAACACAGCAGTGTACCTGCATGGACAGCAAAAGGAGTCAGTCATCCGTAACTTACTTCCTTGACTTCCCTTTAGTATAGAGCAATCTTATGTTCTTATAGGACACATGAGGAAGTGGAGCAGACAGATTGTTTGCTCACCTAACGTCTAATGCAAAGTAAACAACTTTCATCCAGACCACCAAAACATAATTCCCTCTGTTGCAGCAGAGTAGGCTGGCTCCTCACGGGACATGAAGGGGCTCACAGAGCAGCTCTGGGTGGACACCAAGGCCTAGGTCTCCAGAAGGACCCAGTAAGCAGCCACATATTTATTCCCAGGGAAGAACCGTGGGGCGGCAGCCCCTCCAGGAGACTGGAAGCACAAAAGGGACAATGTTGCCACACTCAGACTGTGCACTTACCACCAAAAAGGTGTGAAGGTTCACAATACCTTCTAGTCAACTCCTCTTTCAGGAAATATAAAGGTCACGCACTGCCTGCAGTCCCTTAAATCAGTGTCACCCCACCCCATCCCAGAACAGGGAAGCAGCCATGACCCCGACCAGGTTTTCCCCTACCAATATGCATCCCACCCTCATTTAGGAGGCTTTGTCTGGTCTACTCAAACCTATCAGACATAAGGCTCACAGAAAGCACCTCCAATGGGACTACCAGAAATGGAGTCACCCCTTGTCACTGTGCCCTTGGCACAGACAAAGCTGGCTGAGTGCATGGGCTAACAGCAAGGCTTTTCTGTGTGGAACTTGACTGAAGTTTTACATCCCTCATGGGGTGTCATTCTTCTACTAGTATCATCTTTCTGCTGATTTTATACAGCCTGAAATATAATTAAGTATATTCATACTCATGGCATACAAATCCAGTAAAATTTGTTTAAACCCAAAATGAAACATGCAAAGGCACTTCCACTGGTTTCAAACAACAGTTTTCTTGCATAATCGGCACAGAATATTTGCCTCAAACTGATTCCCCATTGATGCCTACAGATTTTAGACCTTTGCTTTTGGAATAAAACTCAGCCTGAATAAAATGCTGTACAAACAGCAACTAATCTTCACGATCTCCCTGCCAGAGCAGATACATATTGTAAAGCTTTTTGTACATATGGCAACACAGAGAGATTGAATGACACTGCCCAAGATAATCGGCAAACGAGTACAAGAGCTGGATGTTCCTCCAGGCCAACTTCCCCACAATGGATGAGGCAGCATCCAGAGGAGACCCTGCGCTTCAGAGGAGAGCCCAGTCTTGCTGAACTGCGTGGCATTGCCTCAGAAGAATAGTTTATGAATAATATTTCCACAGAGCATTCTGTGTAACTTTTTTTGAAATGGAAATAACTCACTATTTACAAAATAATTTTTTAAAAGGGGCCAGTGTTACCTCATAGTACAAATTCAGTGACTATTGCTCATTTCCAAACTGCAGGGGAATGCAAGGGCTTAGGAAGAACAAAATGAGCATCTGAACAAAGAACATGATGTTTTGTGTTACATTTGAGCCAGCTGTACCTGCTGAAGCCCCTTCACAAACCATATCAGCAACAAACTGATAATTTATGTGCCAAAGTTTGCCCCCTCATGAATTGGAACAAGCTAATTTTGTATCACTAAAATGACAGTTGTAGTCAGTATGGAAATCACATGTGAGTTGTGTACTACTATTGTTACTATTCCTAAAACAACATAGGATTCTTTCTGCATTGTTTTTGTAGGAGTATACAAAATGCACTTCCCGTTTAGCCAGGGATTTTAATGAGAGATTTTCCAGCATTTGGGGAAGTGTGTGGTTTTTTTTACTGGAACAGGAGGCTTAATTTGAATCAAAGCAATAGTCATCACACAAAATCCTGCCTTCTCATTCGGAAAAGTTAGATTCAGTTTCAACTTCTGCTGATCAGGGTTACGCTTGAACTCACTCGAGCCTGAGCTGCCTCATGAGGTCTCTGAAATCCAGTCACCGTGGTCTGATGCTGTTCTGCCGCCCTGGTCATGACACAGTCCCGTTCTAGAGCACCTATTTTCCCATTTCTTCCTCCCCGAGTTTACACCCCAAGCCTCTCGCTCTGTGTGTTTCTGCCCCGGAGCACGGTCCGCGGGGAGGGCAGCTTGAACTCACTCGAGCCTGAGCTGCCTCATGAGGTCTCTGAAATCCAGTCACCGTGGTCTGATGCTGTTCTGCCGCCCTGGTCATGACACAGTCCCGTTCTAGAGCACCTATTTTCCCATTTCTTCCTCCCCGAGTTTACACCCCAAGCCTCTCGCTCTGTGTGTTTCTGCCCCGGAGCACGGTCCGCGGGGAGGGCAGCGGCACCGGCGGAGCCGGCGGGCCGAAGGGACGAGGGGGA